AGAATTGAAAACTTATGTCCACACAAAAACCTGCATACCGATGTTTATAGCAGCTTTATTCATAACTGTCAAAACTTGGAAGCAACCAACATGTTCTTCAGTAGATAAGTGGATAAACAAACCGTGGTACATCCACACAATGGAATAGTATACTGCACTAATAAGAAATGTACTATCAAGTCATGAAAAGACATGGAGAAGCCGTAAATGCATATTACCAAGTAAAAGAAATCAATCTGCAAAGGCTACTCCAGGTTCTGGTACCAGTTCCAGTGTGGGGGCAGATGAATGTTTCACACACCAACAAGCAATTTTCTGCACACCGACTAAGTGTCCTACATTTAATTTGATTCTGACATGATCTTCCTGAAGGTAGCATCAGATTCCACTGGTTAAGGACTCAGTCCTACAAGATTGCTCTCCCCTCCATCCACTTCAGTTGCCAGTCATGAGTCCAGGTTGTCGCCTATGCTTCTAACCAACTAGCTATAGATTGGAGGTTCCAATGACCCCCCTCCTTAGGATTGAGTAATTTCCTAGAGTGGTTCACAGAATTCATAGAGACATATTACTTACTAGATCACTGGTTTATTTTATTGTAGGATAGATGTATTAAATGCATTTTTTCAATGTTTATTAATTTATTTTTGTTACAGATGTTTCTCTCTTTTTCTCCCACTAGACACCCTCCTCCCCATCCAGCCATGCCCCACACCCCTAACATTGTTGTCTATGTCCATTGGTTATGCATACATGCATATAAGTTCTTTGGTTCATCTCATCCACCTCTACCCCCCTCCTCTGAGGTTTGTCAGTCTGAACCACACTCCTTTCTATGTCTCTGGGTCTATTTCATTCATCAGTCCACCTTGTTCATTATATTCTACAAATAAGTGAGATCATGTGGTATTTGTCCTTCTCTGCTTGGCTTATTTCGATTAGCATAATACTCTTCAGGTCCCTCCATGTTGTCTCAAGGATAAGAGATCTTTCTTTCTTACAGCTGCATAGTGTTCCATTGTGTATATGTACCACAGCTTTTTTATCCACTCATCTATTGATGGACACTTGGGCTGTTTCCAGAACTTAGCAACTGTAAATAGTGCTGCTATGAACATAGGGGTACATATATTCTTCCTGATTCTTTCAGGCTTCTTAGAATATATTCCTAGAAGTGGGATCACTGGGTCAAATGGTAGATCAATTTTTAATATTTTGAGGTAACACCATATTGTTTTCCATAGTGGTTGCATGAGTCTTCATTCCCACCAGCAGTGCACTAGAGTCCCCTTTTCTCCACACCCTCGCCAACACTTGTTTGATAATTTGTGGATGGCAGCCATTCTGGCAGGTGTGAGGTGATATCTCATAGTTGTTGTTTGTTTGTTTGTTTGTTTATTTATTTTTATCCTCACCTAAGAACATTTTTCGATTTTTTGTTCAGATAGAGTGGGAGGGAGAGAAAGAGAGAAGCATTGACATGTAAAGGGACACATTGAGTGGTTACCACCTGCATGACCCAACCAGGGCTGGGGACAAACTGCAACCGAGGTACATGCCTCTAGAGGGAACCGAACCTGGGTCGCTCTGGACCACAGGCCAATGCTCTAACCACTGAGCAAAACTGGCCAGGGCTACCTCATAGTTGTTTTAATTTTCATCTGATGATTAGTGATGTTGAGCTTTTCTTCATATGTCTCTTGGCCATTTGTATGTCCTGTTTGGAGAGGTGTCTCTTTAGGTCCTCTGCCCATTTTTAATTGGGTTCTTTGTCTTCCTTTTGTTGAGTTGTATGAGTACTCTATATATTTTGGAGATTAACTCCTCATCTGATATATCGTTGGCAATTATGTTCTTCCATATAGTGGGTTCCCTTTTCATTTTGATGGTTGTTTCTTTTGCTGTGCAGAAGTTTTTTAGTTTGATGTAGTCCCATGTGTTCATTTTTTCTTTGTTTCTGTTGTGTTGGGCACTGGTTATTTTTAAAGGCTATCGCTCAGGAACAGCCACGTGGACGAGATGCACAGAGCAAGGTGTAGGGAAAGGCCTCAGAGCATACTCCACTCCCAGTACCACCACAGGTTGGTTCACCAACCCAGAAGCTCTCCAAACCCCATCCTTTTGCATTTTATAAAGGTTTTATTACTCAGGAATGATTGATTAAATCACTGGCTATTGATGATTGAACTCAACTTCCATCCCCTCTCCCCTGCCCAGAGGTCACAGAATAGGACTGAACGTTCCAACCCTCAAACACATGGTTGGCTCTCCTGGCAACCAGCCCCCATTCCAAGGTGCTTTCTGAAGTCACCTCATTAACCCACCAATTGACACCTTTGTTGTTTTCATAATTTAGGTAATTCCAAGGGGTTAGGAGCTCTGTGCCAGAAACTGGAGGAGGATCAAATACATATCTCATATTATAATCCACAGTATCACCGCTACATGTTACATCATTCCAGCTATATGATTCTCTGGAAAAATGGAAACTATGGAAACGGTGACTTTGGTTTCCAGGAGTTCGGAGTGGAGAGGGATGAATAGGTAGAGCACAGAAAATTTTTAGGGCAGTGAAAATACTCTGTATGATTCCCTTATCAGTGGAAGTGGAGTTTTTGGGGTGCTACGAGGAAAAGAATTTCCTGAGGCCCCACGGGAGACGGGATTTCATGGAAAGCCTTACTGATGATTTAAAATGAAAGAGGTTGCCCTCCAAGATCCCATCTCTGCGCCTCCCACCATGGAAGAAGATCAATTTTGTCTTCAGCAGGGCCAGAATTAAAGCCACTACCCAAAATTTCTGCTCCATATTAAAGTCCAGTCCAGTCCAGCATATGGTTAGCTTAGCTTGTGTTCCCAGCTGCAGGCCCTTGTGTGTGTGTGTTCCCACAGCCTCAGGCCATGCGACTGCTTAAAGCCACGTGGCTATGGAGAGACAACAGGCGAGCTCACAAGCGAGTGCAGGTCACAGAGCAAGAGGGAACGAGAGCAAGAAGAACAAGAGAAAAGGAACTCTTTGGGGGCTGGGGCTAGGGCTAGGGCTAGGGTTAGGCATACACCCTATGAAAACAGAAGGAAGAACACAAAACACAAAGGTTAATGGACACAGCAAATCATAAACCAATTGAGAAGACTTTCAGATGCAAGGCTTTTGCTGGAATGAAATCAAGCAGTGACAATCTGACAGATTCTTTGTCTGCCGTTTGAACCTCTTTGGTGACGTCGTCAGGTGCTGCGATCTCTGTGGCATAGCCTTGAAAACAAAACTTGAAGACAGTTAGCTGCACTGGAGTCCAATATCCACAACTGGGCGTTGTGATTTCCATTGAAACATTTCTGTCTCTTTCTTTTGCTTTCCAGCCATTGTAATTTAATTTAGAGCATCTCAGATTTTTTTCCCTTATCAAAGTATATGGGAAATCTCTATACCTTCCCCTTAATTTTGCTGGGAACCTAAAACTGCTTTTTTTTGTTGTTGTTGTAAACTCTTAGAATAGCTTTAATGCAAGTTATTTCCAAAGGTGTTTTCTTCTCAATTTTTATTTATTTTTGTTACAGATGTTTCTCCTTTCCCCCTGCTAGACACCCTCCTCCCGACACCCCACCCCCAGCATTGTTGTCTATGTCCATTGGTTACACATACATGCATAGAATTTCCTTGGTTTATCTCATCCTCCCCCTCCTCTGAGGTTTGTCAGTCTGAACCACTCCTTTCTACGTCTCTGGGTCTATTTTGTTCATCTGCTTATTTTGTCTTAATAAAAAAAACTTGCTCAGTGTCAAAATGAATAGGTTGTATTACCTCGATGAAGTACAGAATTAATTTAGGATTATATTTGCATGAATTCAAGTAGAAGAGGAAGCAAGCACTATGTATTCTTTACTGAATAATCCTAGCTCTTTACTTGCTATGCAATGGGTGTTCATGAATGAATAAAATATAAACAGTATCTCTGTTTAGATTATTATTCTCTGATCTGAGTTGCAATAAATGAAAAGAAATACTAAAATATTTGTAGTTGTCATTATTTATGAATTTTATTGCTCAATTAGGTTATAAAAACCCCACACTGACCTTCTTTAGAACAAAGCCATGTTAAAGATGTTCTTTTGGGAGCTGTTTCATGCTCCCAAAAAAGACCTATGGAATCTGTGGGACCCTGGGAAAGTCACTTAACATCTCTGAACCTTATTGTCTTCTGTCCCCTTACCCTTTTAGTTCTTCTGGCTGATTGGATAATTCAAACAACATATAGCAGATTAACAGGAGAAATCAAAGTTTTAATACGTACATGCAGGGAATTCACAGAAGCATGAAAATTCCAAAGCCATTGTGACAACATTGGGTATTTATGACATTTTTGGACAAAAGAGAAGGTGGGGCGAGGATTAGATTTCAGGAGTGAGAATGGGCAACTTACGGGTAGTTGAAGAGTGGAACACTCGTGACAGGAAAACCCTTGCTGGGCTACTCAGAAACAGCGGGACACGGAGGGCGTGGGCGTTATGTAGCCTAACGTGCCTCGAGTCTTCCTGACTAATGCTACGGTGTAAATTCTTAAGGTGATTAAGTCAAGGCTCCCTTCCTACAGCAGGTATTTCTATCCAAATCTCTTTAAGAAAAAGGGGAATTAAAAAAAAACTCCCTACATTTACTGGGCTTCGTGCCAGGGTGACACATTTTGGGAACATTCACTCCTGATCTGCACAGTACATGAGTCAAATGGAAACAATTCCATATTAGCCTAAAGACAGAGAAGCTGGGTATATGTTTTTTTAAAACTTTGTTTCCTCATTATTAAAAACAATTGTTTTATTCAGTCTGTCATAAATAAGCCAGTAGACTGAGGCTTCACTCTGCCTCTATGCATCCATGAAGATCCCTGCATCATCCACAGGGTGAACGTCTGAACAAGGTATATTTATTTTCCTAGTCAGGTACACACCTTCTATGTTGCTCCTATTCATTAATCAACAAATCTAGACAACCAAACAGTCCTCTATCTCCAAAGGAGGCTCAAAATGGTTGATCCGGGCGTTTCAGAATCTGCACTCCTCTTAAATTCCAAATAAATCATGAGAGAAATGAAGTCCCAGCAGATGGCAAACTGACTTCCCTTGAAGAGCTTCTGCACTCTCTGCTGGGCCTTTTTGCTTAACTTCACCATGGCAACGGCCAGGGTGTGCAGAAGGGCGACTGTGTTTGATAACCTGTGGGTAAGTCTGTGATATTGTTGCTGGAGAAATCTGGGGGCCAGATATCCCCGACACTTGTGGGAGTGGGGTGACTCTTGTGATATCTTCAGAAAAGGAATTTTCTAAGACTTGCATGGGAGAACAAATAGTCTTTATTTGTGTGGTGTTACAGTCCTGGGGTTGTAAAGTCCCATGTCCCTAACCCAGTCCTGGAAGAAATGCAGCTGTTGCTTCAGCAGAGCTAGAAACAAGGCCAGTGTTCAGAGTTTTCATTCCATGTTGCAGTCAGGTCCAGATCAGGCATCAGGCTAAATTCAGTCCATTACTCCACTGTATGGGGTCCACGTGGCTGTGGGCCACATGAAAAATACAATGCAGGGAATGCTCCCTTTGCAACAGGAGGCCCAAGGAGGCAGGAGGGCCAAGTGCCAAGAGAGACCAGAGAGAAAACCTCCTTTGTCTAGGGGATTATGTACTCAGGTTTCATGCGCTTGCAGTGGCCACGTCTATTCTGGCCAACTACCTGTTCCCAGGTGTGACAGACAGGTAAGCACCTCTCCATACCTTACTGGGCATGTGTCTAAATTGCCTTTGTTTAGTCTCTTTCCCCATCAATTAGCAGAGAACAGACCTGGAGAGTGTTAACTTCAGCTTGCTGGCAAAGCTACATAAATGGTATGCCTATATTATTTAGTCTCGCTTCACTCCTTTTCTGTTAAATAAGAACCAGATTATTACAATGGCATCAATATGAAAGTCCCAACTCTTCGATATGTGATATGGTCCCACTTTACTGTATGACCTGTTCTCTTATACTCCCCTTTCTGCAGTCTACAGACTTCAGCTAACAGAGCTGTATTCCCTGACCCCCAAACATGCCCACCTTTCCCTTTCCGTCCACATCCACATCCACATCCACATCCACATCCACATCCACATCCACATCCACATCCACATCCACATCCACTTTCTCTCTCTCTCTCTCTCTCTCTCTCTCTCTCTCTCTCTCTCTCTCTCTCTCACTGAACTCTAAGAGTCTTAAGGACACAAGCTGCGCCCCACTGCCTCTGTGTAGCCCCACATCTTGCACACACCTGGTACATAATACAAGCTCAACACATAATTTTTTAATTAAAAAGGTGAACAAAAATTAATAACAGCCCTGGCCAAATAGCTCAGTTGGTTAGAGCATCATCCCGACACACCAAGGTTGCAGGTTCAATACCCAGTCAGGGCACATCCAAGAAGCAACCAATGCATGCAAAAGTAAGTGGAGCAACAAATCGATGTCGCTCTCTCTTGCTCTTCCTCTCTCTCTCAAAATCAATCAATAATTTTTTAAAATGAATAACCTAGTAAATGGAGAAGACGGAAAGATGGCAATATCACCAGCTGGTACCAAAATGTCAGTACTGCATTTCTACCTGGTGATACAAGCCTCTTCCACACACCAGTTACACATTGTCCTTATACATCATCTCATCAGTCTCTCTCCCCTTTCGAAGCTGCCCTTTCACAATTTCTCCTAAACCAAAAGCTCAGAAGTCAGTCAGGGCATAAGTGCACTTACCCACCTCGACCCAGGGGCCCCCTTAGAAACAGTATAATTGAGAAAAAATTAGTTAAGTGTAGTATATGAGAGAAATGACAGAGAAGGATAATTATTGATGTGGGATAGTATTTAGTTTAAGAAAACCTAGAGTAAACTAATTATCTTTTTGGATAGTTACTAACCAAAGAAGTGTCTTGAAACACTGAATGTTCAGAACTCTGCATCCAAGGAAATTCTTTAGAATAAACTCACAAAAATGCCTTGGAGGCAGAGCTGCCCCAAGAGTTCAGGCGTTAGTCACCAAACCTGAGGGTCTGGGATGTGTACCCCACCCCAATATGTATTTACTGAACCGTCACTGGTGACGGGCACAACTCTAGACTGATAGCCACTATATATTGAACCCATCCTGGTACTAGGGAAATAATAAATATCTCATTATCTTTCCAACAACCCCAATGAAGTGGGTGGGTATCACTATCCCCATTTTACAAATAAGCAAATTGAATACCAAGGACGGGAGTCTAGTTGCACAAGATCCCACACGTTTAAGTGGCAGAGCAGGACTTGAACCCAGGTTTTTCACATTCTAAACCCATCTCTTAGCTACCTTACTTCACAGGGAAGACTTTGCAATATAACAAAACAAAACAAAAACACCTGCTCTCACAAAATAGTCATAGGAGAGGACAGAATAAGACAGAATGCTAACTTTAAGCATTGATAAAAGCTGCTGATTTCTGATCACATCCTCTTCATCAGCTATTGATTCAGGAATGTGGCCCTCACTATAGCCAGTGGGCTATGACAAGACACCTCTTGGAAGCTTCTGCATAAAGGAGCCACAGGCAGAGACTCACCCCCTTTTCCTCTGGCACCTCTGCACCATCTTGATTTCAGCCTGAGGATGAAGCCAACCTGGAGATGGGCAGAGCTGAGAGATGGAAAGAACCATCATACTTAGTGACATCAGTGAGCCACTGTGTCAGCCGAGCCTAGCTTTAAGCGTCCTTATTATGAGATATTATATTTTTGTATTACTTAAGACAACTTGAGGCAGAATTTCTGTTACCTACAACCTAAAGCATCCTGACCCAGGACCCATTTCTGTAGGTTTTACAGCTTATCCTTTTTAGAATGAAGTACCAAAGGATCTAGAAATGTTTCCACTGTGTCCAAAACAATATGTCCTACATGCTAACGCTCTTGGCTGGAGGAAAATGATTTGGTAAGAGGAAAAAGAAGGGATAAAAAACCAATTCCACAGTTATAGTAGGAAACAGATTATATGTCCACTGATTTATGACATGAGAGGAAACAAATCAGTTGCGGAATTGTGAGTGCAAAGTTACAGTGCCCTAGAGCATGGGGTTCCAGCTTTTGTTTATGACCTGCTTATAGGTCATATAAACAACTCAGAAAGTCTAGAATAGCATTTTAAAATGGAACGAAATAGAACGAATAGAACAGGATAGATCTCAGCACATTGTCAGGATTATTATCTTGTGGAACCTTTATTTCAGCTATATATTTACACATGTGTCTGCTGAGTCTGTAAAATGTATGTCTTCCTGTGGATCTTGAGCGTAAAGTTTCAAGAAATATTGTCTGAGAATAAACTGAGCCACTGACCGTCCCTCATTATACACAATTCTCCAAACCACCAGCACTGACTGGTGAGTTTGCTTTAAGCACACAAATAACTCTAACATCTTTTCTGATGAAAAATAGTCTCATCATGTGACTGTAATAAAATGTTCCTTCTCAAGTAAAAAGGTGCCCCAGATGCATGGAACCCACAGAGGACCCAGGACACCCAGCTGAGCCCGTGGGAGCTCCCCGGGCTCCAGACTGAGTGACCCCTGGGGCTTGCCCCGTGTCCTCTCCCAGGAGCGTCTCTGACACCATTTGGTTTCTGCCTGATTCTTGCTTCTTATACTGACAGTTCGGGAGGAGGCAAAAGGGATTTATTTCCATGGTATTGTTGGTGAAAGTACCTTTGTATTGGTGTGCGTTCATATTAAAAATCTATTTTTTTTAATTTCAAAGAGATTAGAAGTCACTCCCCAAATTTCAGCTTCCAGTGTAATTAGTTGTTCATTAGGGAGCCCATCACGGAGCAGGTATTCCCACCAAGTAGCCCCGTTTGTTCTGAGAACGCTCATAAATCAGAGCTGTTCGTGACATGAAAGGCTTGGTCGGCGCAGGGTCTGGGCTCTGGGTCATCCCTTCTCGTCTCGGTGCAGGGTCGATGGCCGGCCGTTCTGTGCAGGCTTGGACCCCTCCCATATCCACCAATGTAGCCTCGGGGCCTGTCCCAATACCTCCACAGAACACCTGCCTTTGCACTATCAACCAAGGAGTACTGGACTTAATACTCCTGGGAGAAATCCTCAGATAAGGAGGATGGGAGCTGACAGACACACACTCCGGCCCCCTGTCCCTCAGGAAGCAATCCCCCACGGAATTCCGTATGGTTCTCAGAGGTCCCTGAGTCCCCGCAATTGAATTCCTGCTGCCTGCTGCTAGACCATGATGATACTCGTTTATATTAGCTTCCCCTCCTTTCCTGCCCCCTCCCCTTTTTCCTTTGCATAGCCCCCTGAAGGGAAGACTTGCACCCAAGTCCTTGGATGGCACTCTGCTTTTAGGGTAACTAAAAGAGAATGTAAACGCAACAAAATCTAATTGATTTCAGGAAAAACACAAGGATAGAGATTATTTTATGATCCAAACAAAGCCTTTGCAATACAATACATTTATATATAAGTGTTTTTAAAAGACTAGGAAGGGATTTGGTAACAGAACTACTTGAGGGACTTCTCCCCAAAAGTCATGCAAATGTCCAACAGATATATGATAAGGTGCTCAACTTTACTGGATATTAGGGAAATGCAAATCAAAACTACAATGAGATACCACTTCACACCTGTAAGAATGGTTGTTATCAACAAGATAAGTAACAACAAGTGTTGGAGAGGTTTTGGAGAAAAAGGAACCCTCATTCACTGCTGGTGGGAATGTAAACTGGTACAGCCACTATAGAAAACAGCACGGAGGTGACTCAAAAAATTAGGAATAGAGTGACCCAGCAATCCCTTTTCTGGGTGCCTACCCCCAAAATTTGAAAACATTTATTCACAAATATATGTGTTCATTGAAGCATTATTCACAGTGGCCAAGACATGGAGACAACCAAAGTGTCCTTCCAAAGAAGATTTGATAAAGAAGATGTAGTACATATATACAGTGGAATACTACTAAGCCATAAGAAAAGATAAAATACTGCCATTTGCAATAACATCGACGGACCTTGAGAATATTGTGCTAAGTGAAATAATTTAGTCAGAAAAAGTTATGAGTCATATGATTTCCTCATATGGGAAAAGCAACAAATGAACAAAGAAAAACTCATATACA